CTTTCCATTATTGATGTTATATATGAAAAATTAATGTGACTTTATGCTTTTAATTTTCAAAAAATTCCTATATATATATATATATATAAATTTCGAGAACAATTTTTTATTTTTTTTGTTTTATAATTAAACGTGAGATTTCATGTTGAAATTGGATTTTTTTTTGTACACACATTTTTACGATACGGTGAATAAAACGACGCGCACGATATTGTACACGCAATTTTTTAATATACTGCATACCGCAACTACACAATAATGACGTGTAGTGGAAAAACTACGAAAAATATGAAAGAAGAAAAGAAAAAAAAATGAAAAAGAAAAAGAAAAAAGTACTGTAAAAAATAAAAAAAAATAAAAAAATTATGGAAATCCGAGAACAATATTCCACACACGTGCTACATACAATTTTATAGCTTTTTTTTTCTTTCACGTTTTTCTCTCTATTTTTTACCATTAAAATAATCTATGGCGAAAGAATTCAAGGAATCTCTCGATATGATATATTGATTCAACAAGACGATGGTTGAATCTCATTTTTCGAATCATATATATAATAATGCGAAAATTTGCGAATTTCCAATTTTCAATAATTTTTCCACGAATAATAATAATAATAATAATTTATAAAAATAATAATCAAAATTTCCTAATTTTTATAAACAAATTTCAGTATTGTTTAATTAGATAATAATTTAATATAAAATTTTTATTTTGTTATTAATAATTATTTTATAATAATAATAATAATAAAAAAATTTCCAATTTTTATTAACAAATTTTTGAATTTGTTTAAATAGATAATAATTTAATGTAACGAAATGTAAATTTGTTATTAATAATTATTTTATATTAATAATAATTAAACATAAAAAAATCATGAAAATTTCAAATTTAATTTATTTTAATTTTGACAAAAAATTTATGGATTACACTAATAAAAATATTTATTTGATTCAAATAAACGGTTACTTGACTATAATCAAATAAATATTTTCTTGAATCAAATAATTTTCATTTAAATTGAATAAATTGTATATTTAAACCAATAATTTATGTATTTGAAACAAATACCATTTAATTGACTCATTGATTATTTAATAGAAATAAATATTTATTTGACAATAGTAAAATAACCGACTAATTGAATCAAATCAAATTTTTTCAGTAAGACTTTTTTTAGTCATAAAAAAAAATTGAGAAGAGGAAAATATTCTAAAACATTCCAAAAATATTCTAAAAGATTCTAAAAATTTATTCTTAATTTCAGAACCGGTTTTTACTTTTTTTTTCATGTAAATTAATTTTTTTTACACCCAGAGAAATTTTTTATTTTGCCTTTATTTGGGACAAATAAAATTTATTGGAATCAAATATAAAATGTTTTAATAAATAAATAAATAATAAAAATAATAAATAGAAAAATAAAAATAGTTCCTAAATAAAAAATAATAAATAATAAAAATAGTAAAAAATAAAAAATAATAAAATAATAAAATAATAATATGTTTCAAATAAAAAATTTAATTTAGCAGAAATAAAATTTTATTTAGCGTAAATAAAATAAAAATTTATTTTGAAACAAATAAATATTTATTTGACTCTAAGACAAATGTATCATTTCTCTGGGCGTAGAATAGTAAGACATTATCTGATTTATGAAAAATGTAAATAAAATCAGAGAAATGCATCAGAAATTTTTTTTTTTTTGTTGAAAAAAAAAGTTAGACCTTTCAAGTAATAGAACTCTCAGATTTTAAATGTTCATTTAACGAAACGCTAATGAAAAGGCATATAGAACTTTCACACATTTTACATATATAACAGGAAATGTGAGCATCCCCCTGTTGGTTCAGCTTTAACGCTTTTCTACAATTCTCATTCTCAACTTTCATTTATATACACTATCCAGAAGTTTGGTCTCTATAATATACATATGAGAAAACTACTCTCGCGCAATGATAAACTCCTTTGGAGTTGACTCGGACGTCATTGCACCACTAACAGGTATACATACTCTATTTTTGCTTATCTCAAGCCTTCTCTTTTGCAAACGTATTTCTGGCTCACACACACTCTCAAGTATGAGATGTACACATTCAGAAACAAATCGTGTAATGTCACGTAATTTTCAACCCCTTATTATTTACTATTCTCGAAAAAATTAATTTAATACATATTTCTAAACAAAAAAAATTCTATCTTCTTCTTCAAAAAAAAAAATTTTTCTTTTTCTATGCCTTATAATTTTTGCCAAAAATTCGAACAAAAAAAAAGTATTTTGCATCTAGGAAATAATTATACAATAAATGATTAATTATTAATCAATAATAATTATAATAATATAATTAATACACTGCGCCGAGAGAAATGTTTTATTTGAAACAAGTATAATATATTTGAGTTAAATAAACGTGTATTTATCACACAGCCTACTAGCCTATTTATTTGGCGTAAATAAAATTTTTTATTTAATTCAAATAAAAATTTATATGAATCAAATATTTATTAGGCTGTGAGACAAATATATCATTTCTCTGGGTGTGGAAAAAAATTTATTTGGTTCAAATAATCGGTAACTTGACTATTATTAAATAAATATTTAATTGAATCAAAATATTTTTTATTTAAATTAAATAAACTGTATTTGATACAAATAAATATTTATTTGATAATAGTCAAGTATAAACCGAATATTTGAATCAAATAAATTGTTTTTTCAGTGTAGTATAATATATTATATTATAATTAATATTATATTATTAATAAAACTATAATTATATAATAATAATAATAATAATAATAATAATAAATAAATAATTATTTTGTAATAAGTACCAACACAATTGAAACAAATAAATCAAAATCTTAGAAAAAATCGAAATCTATTAATTAATTAATACTGAGAGAGTAATTTTGAGTTTATTAATTAATATATTTTTGTAGAGTTAGTGAATTTAAAAATAAATTGCATTAAAATATGCATGTATGACAATTTAAAAAATTGATGTAAAAATGTGAACAGCATTTTTATTTTATTCTTTTTTTTTCTTTTCTTTTTATCTTTGAGTTTATCCCTCGTCCTTTGTTCATTTTTGTAAGTTACATAAATCTTCTTAACTGAGTTTTGATAGGGCTGAGCGCTTCTTTTGATTCATGTTTTTTCATGACATCGTATACGTAGGATTTGCAAGAATTTAAAAAAAAAAAAAAATACCGGACAAAAGAAATTTTTTTTTTAAAAAAAAAGAAATTCAAGATAAAGAATATTTATTTATGTAAAATGCATTGTATAAAAAGAAATATTTTTCATTTTAAAAAGAAAATTTATCTTTTAATTATAGCTTATTATGTTTTGAATTTAAAAAAATAATTTTTTAAATAAATTTTTTAAGCACGTTTAAAGAAAAACTTTTTTTTTTTTAATTGAAAGAAAATTATAAATAATATATAAATCGGCATATGTTTTAGAAAATTCAAAACTATTAATTGCATTTTAATGAACTAATTATTATTATAATGATCTTTCGCACGGCAAGTATAAAATTAATATCACAATTATGGAAAGCGCTTCATTCTCAAGAACAAAGACACGTTTAGTGAATTAAATTAATAATTAGAATATGGTACATATGCAAATTAATATATTGTCTAGTTTGATTTTTTTTAAATTAAAAAAAAAATGTTTTATAAAAGACAAATATTTATTTTAAAAAAAACTTAAAAATTGAAAAAACGTCATTAAATATAAAAAAAAATTTATTTCATTGAAATAAAAATCTTGAAATTATATTTAATTCTCTAATTTCAAATAATTGGGGAATATTTTTTTTTTTTCTAAAATTTTGCCAATAAAAGGACTAAATATTAATATAATATAAGATGGATCGCTTTGATGATACGCTTTACATAATTATGACATAACTTTAATTACAAGTAAGTTCATTTAATCGTTAATAAATTGATTTCACGTCTCCCTCTCTCTCTCCTTGAGATCAAAGTATATGTAATTATTTTGGCTAGATTCACTTTAGAATTTGCTCTGTTCATTAAAATTTTGTCAAAATAAAAAAAAATTAAAATTTAATATAATGAATATATTATATTCTAAAACGAAAATTTACTGAATAATATTATATTGCTTAATATATAATATTAATATAACAATATTAATAAAATAATATTAATATTATTAATCCAATAATAGGCATTTTTCCATTTTGCAAAAATTTTTTTATATATATTTTTTTACACTTTTTTTATATGAATATTATAATATTATAATATTATAATATTATAATAGTATTAATAGATAATATTATAGTACTCATAAAATTATAATAAAAATTAATTAAATCAAATAAAGGCAAAAAAAATTTTTTTTTTTTGGCAAAATGGAAAAAAGTGCCACTTTATATATAAAAAGCGTATTTGGAGATAAACAAAGATAATCTTGCTGCTCCTCTAACTTACGAGCATTTTTTTTTCTTTACGTCTATTTGAACCGTCCTGCGAAATTGCCCTCGAGGGGTTAACTTGTGACCCCAACTGTCTGCTCGCTTGCTCTCAAGTGGAAACTTAACTTTGTATTGGGTTCCTTGCTATAAGGCGGAACATTCTAGTTCTTTAAACTCTTTTCCCTTTTTAGCATTTGAGATTTTTCGATCCAATTTTAACGCATTTTCTTTCTTTCCTTTTTTTTCTTAACTAATAAAAGGCGCTTTTCTTCGCCAATTTTTTTTTTTTTTAAATAAAAATAAATTTCTCTAAATCCAAAAGATTCTTTACTATAAAAAAAAATACTTCTTTACTGAAAATAGATTTTCCTACACAAAATTTTTCATTTAAAAATTTATTCAGAGGAAAAAATAGGAAAAGAAGTATTTTTTTTTTTAATTATGAAAATGATTTTTTTTTCTTTTTAAATAAATAATTTTTACTAATTAGAAATTTCTGGTAAAATTAAAAAAGAATTAATTACTTTTTTTTAAAAATCTTACCTTTACTGGTGAGACTAAAACTTCGAAGCCTGTAACTGTCCTCATCCTCGCCTTCTTCTCGCGGAGGTAATTGAACCGAAACATCGGGTACATCAAGAAATGCATTACTCTTTCTATGATGAGTATGATGCATACTTTGTCCTCGTCTACTGCCCCTTCTTCTAAAACCTGGACTAACGTCATTTTCATTTAGCCTTGGTTCACTGCTACAATGAGCTGATTTCATTGTTGGTTCATGATGATGATGTTGAGCGGCAGCTGTAAAATTTTTATTAATTTATGAATTATTAATATTGCAATTTGTTTCATCAAAATTGATATAAATTCGCAATTTTGTAATATGTAGTTTAACCGCATGCATGTCAAACTATTTTTTACAAATGTTATTTTGCATATTAGAATATATTGCAATTATATATTATTATACGTTCTGAAATGTAATTGTCATTTCGTTATACAAATTTTATTGCAAATTTAATAATCAAAATTATACACTTTTTAATAAACAAAATTTTAATGTTTTGTTTAAGTAGATAATAATTTAATATAATAAAATTTTCAAATTGTTATTAATAATTATTTTACAATAATAATCAAAAGTTAATAATAATAATAAGATAATAATTATTATTACATTTAAAGATAATTATAATTATTATTTTTTATTATTATTTATTTTTTTGGAATTATATGATTTGATATAAATAATAATAAATATAAATTATTTAAATTTTTTTTCACATTTTAAATTCTTGTAATTTGCATAAATTGTGTTTGTATATTATAAAACCTACAATGCTTGTCTGAGCGTAACGAGCCATAACTACTGATTTTGAGAGTTACTTTTTTTTATAAGGGGCAAAAAGAGTCGCCTATTCTTGTATCGAATAACAAAATATTATAATTTTACAAGAATAGAGTTAAATTTAAAAAAAAATTATATTGAAAATTTTTTTAAATTATTTGATATTTAAAATTAAAATATAATAAAAAAAACTTCATAAATTAATAATAATAAAAACCAATTTTTCTATTTCTAATTAAAATAATTATAATAAAAAAGATTTTTAAATTTCAAATTAAAATATAATAAAAAAAATGCCTATAAAACTTGTAATATATTATAAATAATTATAATAATATAATAATAATTATTTATAAATAATAATCTAATAATAAACTATAATAATTAAATAAATAACAAAAATCTAATCACAATCGTTAAAATTTAATATATATTACATTTGAAAATATTCTCGGTAAAAGTTTTTCAATATAAATTTATTCGAAGAAAATGTTAGTCTATTCTTTTATAAACTTAGAACTTTATAAAAAAGAAGTTATATTCCACATTGTATTTTTCCCGATCTTGTTAAGGAATTTCTTTAAAAAAAAAAAAAAAAATATCATTTTTTCTAATATTTATAAATTGACATAAAAATAAATTTGTGTGTGTGCACGTGATTTAATTCATTATTATATAAAGCTATATATATTTGACGGGAATCAAGTTTGCGAGCTTTCGAAAATGGCATTTCTCAAGGGTAAATATGCAAACTTAATCCATATGCGTAACACACTTGGGATTATATCAAAGCTCGTCTCGTACACACCTCTGACGTTTAAAGTTCACCGCTCTTGAGATTAAAACTATAAAATATCGAACTTTGTATGTATACGGTTCACTATAAGTGTCACCAAGCAACATTTTCCGGAAATTTATTATTTATTAATAGAATATAATAATTAATTTCTATCACCAATTTTGTTTTATATTAATTTCGAAAAAAATTTGAAAAAAGCAAACAATTCTTATTTTTTTTTTTTTTTATTTCCTCTTATTTGTGAAGGAATAATTTTGTAAATCTGTTTTAATATAATTAAATACCACATTCTCTATTGAGGAAGCAATAAATAAATTTTAATAAATAAAAAAATAATCTTTCAATTGATTTTGAATAAAAATAAATATAAAAATAATAAAGAAAATATGAAAAAATAAAAAAAAAATGAAAAATTTACCTTGTGCGGCAGCTCTTCGACGAATGCTTTTACCGCCACCCGTGACTCGTGCACTTTGAGACCTTGTGGCAGGTCGTCGTCTTCTCGTAGGTGTACTTCCTTCCGGTGTACCACTTCCGCTGTCCCTTTCTCTGTCCTTTTCCTTAGCACCTGATGGTGGCATTGAATCAACCATTTTATCTATACTTGAAAAACCAGGAGCACAAATTGAAGCCGATCTTGTTTTTCGTCGTGGTGTTTCTTCAGCCATTATCTTTTTCCCCCGTAATTTTTAATTTTACTTGTCTCTTTCTCTCTCTTTTTCTCTCTCTCTCTATATATGTATAAATCTCAAAAAATCAACACTGATTTTTCTTTTTCTTTCACTTTTTTTTTTTAAATATCGAAAATCAATAATAAAATAGAAAAAAAATGTAAATAAAAATCTCACAATTAATCACTGATGAGAAAATTCAAAATATTTTATATTTTAAATTTTTTTGAGAAAATTGATAAATGTTTTTTTGATACCATAGATGTTATAATTCCTTTTTTAAATTGTTTCTTGGATATGTTTATATATAATTCTTGATTTTTTTATTTCGTCTCACGTGAGAATAGAATCATTGAAATTAAAATTGGTACTGTATCCATTTGTATCAACAATATCTCTTGACAAACAATGGTTAAGAAAATTTATCTTCCCTCGTATGACACAAAAATTCGTTGAAACTGGAATTTTTCTCTGCAAAAAGAAAAGAAACGTATTAATTTTGTAAATTCAAATAATTTAACAACAACAATAATAATAATAATTTATTAATTAAAAATAATAATAATAAAATTTTTCAATAATTGTTAACATTTTCTTTGAAGGTATAATAATATTAATAGAAACTATTTGAATGAAATAATAATTAATAAATCAATAAATTAGATGTCATGAAAAATAAACGATAAAACAAATTTAATATATAAAATGCAAAATATACGAGAAAGTAAAAAAAAAATCTATATTTAAATTACGTTTACGAGAGAAGTAATTAATAAACATTTTGTCAATAGTTTTATTTTAATAAATAAAAATTAAATAAAAAAAAAAAAAAAGTTGCGCAATTAATTTTCAGATTGAATTTTTATCCAATAATCGACTATAATACTAAAACTCGCGCGCTAGCTTCCATTAAATTTAATACTTTCGATAATAGAATTCCACGCTTCTAAATCAAATATCGCGTTCCACAAAATGAAGTACACTTTAATTAGAGTTTCGCTAACCGCCAGAATATTTATTGCTTAAAGCTTGGTTGAAAATTTGAGAAAATAACAATTTCGCAAATTCTTTACTGTTTAGTGCGGCTAATTGGCGCGATTTACGTTTTAATAACAAGTTTCAATTATTATATATATGTATACTCTCTTCAAATTATATTTCTTCGAGTAAAATTTACTAATTTGAAAAAAATTCAAATTTTTTAAAATTTAAAATTATTTTAAATTAAAAAATTAATATTTATTAAATATTAATAAAATTTTTTTTAAATTAAGACTCAATTTAAGATACCCTTGTCATAAGTTAAGAAAAATGTTTAAATAAATTTATAAATATTTTTTTTAAATACAAATTTTATAAATTTATTTTACATCAAAAAATTAATATTTATTAAATAAAAATAATTTTTGAAAAATGAAGACTAATTGAATTTAAGTTTCTTGTGTCTTATAAGAAAAATTTTTAATTAAATTTATATAAATATTTTTTTATTTAAATAAAGACTAACGTTATCAATTTACGACTTTTATTAACAAAGAATTATTATTATTTATTAGTTATTATTTATTATTAACAAAGAATTTAGAATTAAGAAATAATTAACAAAGACTTTTAATGGTTTTAATAAAATTTTCTTAAGACACAGGTTCTAAATTTAAACTAAAAAAAAGAGCTAAAAAACTTTGAAAAAATATTAAAGCTACAAGAAAGAAATATTTGGTATAATTCGGAAAAAATATTTTCCAATGATTTATATTTTCTGCTTCATCAATGCATCTTATATTAAGAAAATTTTGCCTGAAATTCTTTAAAATTTTCTTAAATAAAGACTCAGTTTTTAAATTAAACTATTATGGGTTTAAAAAAAATTGTTTTATGACATTCAGAAATTTTTTTTTTTTAGAGCAAGATTTATAAACTATTAACTGACTTTTAATTTAAGAAAAAAATTTTATTTAGAAATATTTTCTCAAATTAATAATTTTTTCACATAAAGCAAAGAAACTTTAGTTATTTTTTTTAATTTTAAATACTTTAATTTTAAAAAATCTTTTGGTTAAATCCAAAAATATTATTATTATATTATTATTATTATTATTATATATAATAATTATAATAACTATTATAATAAATAATATAATAAATTATAATAATTATAATATATTATTATCTTAAAATAAGACTCGTACTTAAAATAAGAATTTTTAAACAATAATTAAATAATTATTGAATTAATTAATTTTTATTCTAGAAATATTATAAATTGATAAATTTTTTTTACTTGTTTTAGAATTTATTTATTTTAATAGTGTACTGGCGAACAATAAAAAATACCATTTCGATGAGAAATTTAAAAAGAAAAATGAAAAAATAACAAAATAAATAGAAAAAAATTTAATTAAATTTTGAATTTTTTTTCGTGCATTTTAAAAAAAATTTTGCAACAATTTTAAGTAAACAAAAAAAAATTACTTTAGAGGTTTATATGTATATCCCACGATGAAAATGAATTTAAAAAAATCGTTTGAGCGCGAAATTTGAGTGAATTTCCCTGGCACTCGTGATCAGCAATTGTCTCGCAAGTAAATAAACGCACCTTTTGATTAAAAATTCTAAATAAAATTCACTTTTCATATAAAATGAATTTTAATTTGTAAAAAAATCTCACTTATTTTTGCATAGTTTTTTTTTTTTTTATTATTATTTTATTTTCTATAAAACACGGAACGATTTTTTTTTTATTTTACAAAAAACACTAAAAAAAATGAAATTTACTTTTCATGTGGTATACGCACATTTTTATACACACATTTTTTTTTTTTTTTATTTGAAATATACACGCGCACACACATACACAAAAAGCGTGGGAGAGGCGCTTTTTTTTCGCAGCACCCGTGATGTGTTTCGCGAGACAACTGAGCGTCGCATGCATGGCGTCGCGACGCCCGCTTTTGATATTCGGAACGTCGTGAAAGCTCGGTGACTTTCGGTATATGTGTGTGTGTATGTGTATATAACGGGGCCTGGCATACATCCAATTTTTCGCTCTCTCTCTCTCTCTCTCTCTCGCTACTATGATTCGCCAAAAAGTACCAACGAATCCGGCATGTCTTTCACACGAACTGACTCGCCAGGAAGTGCAACGCAAAATAAAATAGAGAAAAAGAAAAGAAAAAGAAAATTGAGAAAGAAAGGGAGAAAAAAAATTTTTCTCGCGAAAGTTCAACGATTCCGCGCGTGAATATTATGCGGAATAATGCGAAAAAAAAATAATAAAATGCCCGCGTTTTGTCGCGGACAAAATAAAGGAAGTGAAATATGAGAAAGAATATTTAATTTTTTTCACAGGCGATTGAACTTCTTTCTTCATCATCATCATCATCATTATCATCATGTGAGAAATAAAAACGAAAATCGAGTTCAAAGAACTTAAATATTCCTATATGCGTATAATTATTTATATATCTATACAAAAAAAGCACGCGACGAATTTCGAGAAATTTTCAGAAAATCATTTCTGGGATATAAGATTGTTCTGCGAAATTTCTAAGTGCCTAATGGATTTAGAAAGAAATTTAAATTTAGTTAAACGAGAATACAATGTATAAATTTATTTAAAAAAAAAAAAAAATAGAAATTTTTCCGGAAAAAATATACGGAAACGTATTTATTTAAGAATTATTTATTTTTACTAATTTTGTATATTTTTTTTTTAATAAAAAATTTTCCAAAGAAAAAAAATTATTCATTTTTTTAATCAATAATGTTAAATTAATTTAATAATAATCAATTACTGACTATTATAATTTTTTTTTCTATTAATTTATTATTACTACTGTCATTTAAAATAATTACAAATTTTAGAATTTTTCTATTATTTTTTTTTCTAGTTAAAAAATTTTGTTAGATTTTATTGTAATAAACAAAGAAATTTTGTTTTGCTTGTCAAATTAATTAGCTCGATTGATTGAGATCAATAAACCATGGGATTTACCAAATTGGTATCCCAAAGCAGCTAAAGAGAGAGAAGAGATTAGTTAATTAAATCTAATTAGTTGAATTTGTTTATTTTTTAAATAATAAATAATTTACAATGAAATTAAATTGCTATTAAAAAATTCAATTTTTTTCACATATAGACAAAAAAATATTAACAGCAAAGTTTTATTTAAAAAAATAATTTTCTAATTTTGTAATCAAAAATACTTTATTTATTAAAAATTTCTATTTTTTAATGTAATTTAAATATTTATTTTTTGTAATTTAAATTTGTTTTTTCATTTATTTCTAATTGTATTTAAATAATTAAATAAATAAGTTTTTTGAATTAAATGTCGTTTTATTATATTCAAATTCTTTTATATCGTTTCGATTTTATTTATTTTTTAGGAATAATAGAAAAATTCTATAAAAAAATTTGAGTGTGATAACATAAATATATTAAATAAAAGAAATTTGATATATTATGCAATAAGAAATTAAAAAGAAATAAAATACAGAGAGAAATAATTCTAAATTGAAAAATTAAATTACGCGTTTAGCTTTTGATCAAAGAATGAAACTTACCATCATCATCATCATCATCATTATAGTTGATCGTGAAAGTTCATACGCAGAGAGAAATTTTTATGCCACTCATTGCAGCCTCCCGAGGATAGATGGACCAGAGAGAGAATATTTTTGACTTGTAGCGGTTTAAGGCTATTTTCGTTCTCGCTTACATATGCACGATTCTCGTTTTCCACATACAAAATCTTGTGCTATTGATAAATCACAAAAAATAACCATAATGAGTATACAGTAAATATTATAAACATCTCTTAGTATCCATTTAATTAAATTTAATACAATTTGATTTACTTTGTTTTTAAGAAATTTTTTTCCTCTTTATCTTCTAAAATTAGATTAATCTTAGCTTTTAATTATACAGTTCAATTTTTTCGTTACTTTTCAGTTTAAAATTTTCATTTAAAAAAAAAAAAATTCACAATAAAATATTAGGTTAGGTTTCTTATTTTGTTTAAATAATGAAATTGTTAAGATTATTTAATACAATCATCAATTTATCAATGAAGAATTAGAGAATTCTTATTAATATTCAGTAGATTTTATTAATTAGTTTTAAAAAGTAACTAATTTTATAGTAAAATTAAAAATTTGCTTCTTCTTAGAAAGATTGTAATAAAGTTTAAAAAAAATTTTAATTTTTATAACATTACAGTTACTCCATCTTTTGGTAATATAGAATACAAATGAATTTTCCAAAATAATTACTTACCAACGATCAATATTGGTTTCAACTGTCGTTAAAAATACAAAAAAAAGCACTGATTGTAGGTAACATAATTAGTAAAACGTACCGACCGGCACGACTAATCAACTGCCTGACCTGCCCGACTGTCAGGCTAGCCAACTTAAGAACGCCAAATACACATGTGAACCTACCCTAATGTCAAACATACCCAACTCTGAGAGTGCGCAGAAAGATATGCGCACATTGGGTACTATTTTTGAAAATGTCATAACCTTTTTGAGCAAGTGTGCGTTAACGGTATATAAACATATCAAGAAAATGGCTATTCATATGCATTTTAACAAGGAAGAAATTCCTGAAAAAGAATCTGTTTTACATTTAATGCCGTGTAAAATTCATGGTGATGAATCTGCTAAAGTTTCATCTTATTTTGAACCTTATATTCGAAAAGAAAATGATGAATGTAAGTTGTTTTTTCTTTGAGGTTATAATTGTTGACAGGTGGTAAATGTAATTGTTATTTCTCTCTCTTTTTTTTGACAATATAATTATTTGTTTTTTTTTTATTTTTCTATTGTAAAAGATTTTAGATCATTATCATTATAAATTCGTTACTTTATTTTATAAAGTTTTGAAATATAAAATGAAATTTGAAAAAAAATATGACTGTAAGCATTTTTTTTTCAAATAAGATTTACAAGCAACATTTCGGGGATATCTTCTTCAAGGACAAAAAGTCACAGTGCCTAAAGGTTATTCTGGTATAACTTTTTTTGAATACAAAAAACCCGACACTGAAGACGTTGAAAGAAATATTTATTCTAATGGAAAATTCTCTGAATTCACTTATTGGAATTATGACAAAATCCCTTCTAAAAATGATGCTTTGGCTGCTGCTTTAGATTGGATTGATATTGCCGAGGCTGTAAGTAATTTTATTTTATGAAAAAAAAAATTAATATTTTACAAACATTTCATTAAATAAAAAAAAAAATTAATCTCTTTTTTAGCTTCATGCTCCAGAAAAATCGGACGACAAATCATAGCTAAAAGCAAAATATTTTTTATATTTAAATTAAGGAAATAATATGTAAGTTTTTTTAAAATAATTTTTAATAAATTAGATGAATGCGATTTAAAATTAGGAAAATATTTTGAAATAAAAATAGTTACTTTAATGAGAGTTATATTTTTTTATTTTAAATAATAAAAGAAATAAAAGTATTTTAGGATAATTTTCTCAATTTTTTTGGACTTAAATAGAAATTAAAATCAATAAATATATATGATTCTTATAAATACTTTAATACGCTAAATTTTTTCACATTCATACATGTAATACATACATTCGGTGAATATTGAAGTATAAATACATTAACGATTAAATTAAGTGTAGAAAATATTTTAATACTTTCTTTTATATATTTAAATATGAATATTATTATATACTTCATGCAGTCTCGATAATTAGCTGATTATGTATTCTTAAGAAAGATAATACCTGTTGTTTTAAATTATTTCCATTCTTTGAGAAATAAACAATGATCATTAAAGAATTTTTTTTTTCTCAAAAAATTTGTTTTAAACAAACACTTGAGATCATTTACTTTAAACTAATCTAAATTTGGTGAATCTCAAATAATACTTTTTTTATGTTCTATATTTTGGAATATATATTTTATTCACAGATAAAATTATTTTCTGTTGTGAAAAGACCTACAAGTGTGATTAATAATAATAATATTATGATTAATAATTACTTGAAGGGCGTTTTTTAAAATATATTTGGAAAATTTAAAACACTTGATTTCATTCACATGAGCGTAGAAAATTGTAAAAAAAACAAATAATTAATATTGGTCATCATATTTTTTAGAAGTTGGTCTTGTTTTTTAACTTTGACCAAAATTATTTCCATTATGTTTTGGCAATATACAATTTTTAAGCGTGATTATAAAAATCCTTAATTACAATTATTTCATAGCCTGTGAAGCTGTCTAATTCAGTAAAATTCTATGCACTAGAATTCATAAAATATCTTTGCGAAGCTCGTTCTAACAATGATTTTCTAACTTAAATTAAAAACATTGTTGGTTTCGTAATTATTAAAAAAAAAAAAAAAAAAAAAAAAAAAAATACAAATGAAACAGATATAAAAAGTGCACAATTTATATACAATTCACTTATAATTATTAGATTAAAATATCAGTTTGCAATTATTTATCACGTTGAATTCTACATATATATTATTTAAAACATACAATTCTTTCATTCCATTAATTTTTTTTTTCAATAAATATTGTATACGTTGAAAAAAGATTTTGGCTATATTGAGCGTAATATGAACACTCCCAAGATTCAGATTTCATCGGTAGATAGTATAAACTTTTAGAAAAAAGAAAAACCCTTACTGAATTTTATATAATATGTAATAAAATCTACTTTTGGTAATATTTATTTAAAAAAAAATTGTTATATAAAAAATTTATTATTGGCTTTCTGAAAGACTTCCTTGGAGATCAGAAATGTAAAAAATGTTGTTAAATCTCTATTTAAAGTGTCGTATAAAAAGTGTAAATAAATTCTACATATATATATGTATATGTATATATATATCAAATCAGACTATAAATTTTCTAGAAAGAACTTACAAGTGACTAGAGTCTTAAAAAAAAAGAAATTATCGCTCAATCATTATACCCTGTTCATGGAAATAACAGAATACCGATAACAACGATTCGTGTATTTTATCAATTTTCCGAAAAAAAACGCAACATTATCTTTAAAAACAATATAACAAGTATTTTAATTAATTTTTATACGATAAAACAATTACTTTGAATCAATTTAAATTGAATTTAATTAAATCATTCTCATTAAAAGTTAATTAACAAAATACTGTTTTTGTAATCATTAATTATAAATTAAAATAAAATCGAAATTATTTGAATTTAAATAAATAAAAAAATTTGCTTTATTAATTAATAATTTAATAAATGCAAAAAAAAATACGAATCGTTGTCATCGAAATAACATGAAATATTTTGTTCATTTTTTATTTAAACCTATGTAAAAGTACCTAAATCAGAGCCCTGATGATATTTCGATTGCTCCTGTTGTTGCTTAATAAAAGCACTGAGTCTATTTAACAAAAATTGTTTATCGTGACCTTCAAGAACTAATTGATTTTTTAATACAGTCACCATATGTTTATTGGCTGTGGCAACGGCAAAATAATAATAAACAAGTAATGACAATACAACAAATGCCGGTACACCAAAACCGGCAGTACCAAGAAATGAGAAAAATGATTGAAGCCAATTTGGAAATTGTGAAAATGTCAAAAGCATCAATGACCATACATTTTTTAAACCCTTAAATGGACCACAAGCTTTGGATGGAGTTAATTTTACAACATAATAACCAATAGGAATAATAGCTAAAATATAAGTTATCAAAAGAACAAACATAAATAAAGATTTTGATCGACTCGTTCTATAAACTTGATTCGATGGCGTACTATTCACTAAACATGCGAATTTTTTAATATAAAAAATAAAAAATGATCCAATTGCCGCGACCAATGGCAAAAGTGGCACAAAAAATGCTCCAAGCCAACAAATTGTTTGCGAATAAACAACATCCAATACTTGTTTTGGCAAATCAAATTGTTGCTCGCCAATAAATCGAAGAATTTTATTTTCCGAATTTCTCGCTAATAATGAACGTGGGAAATTAATGAAAAGTGTTAAAAAAATTTGTGTAATAAAATCAGTGAGATAAAGTTTCAAAAATTGTTGTCCAACAAATGTTTCCCAGCATAATGGCCGATTTGCCGACTCATCAGTACATTCATTTTCTTCCACTTCGCTAACAATTTTCATATAGAAATTAAAAAGTAATACAGCGAGAGAGGCAAGTCTCAAAAATATTGTTCGAAATAATGTAACACGTACGACAAACAATGGACTATAATTCTCAAGTGTTACAAGATAACGAAACAAAAATGGCACAATAATATTTAATCCAACAATACAAATATAGGGTAAAAATTCAAACAAAATTTGACCAAGTGTATTAAATGAAAATGTTACACTTGAATCGTGAGCAATTTTTGTGCTAACTTCACGAAATGAAAAATCAATTACCCAATAAATAAAAATTCCACAACAGCCAAGAACAACAAGAACAATTGAATTAACAAAAAGACGTATGAAATATAATTTCACCTTTTCTTCTTTTGTACGATTTTGCCTTTCTTCTTCAAGTCTTTCCGACTCGAGAAGAACTTTCATCTCATTAAACAATGCTTTGTGCTTAATTCCCGCTGCTTTTTCATTATTAATACAATAATCCCAACCACCAAATATCAAATTACAATACTGATAAAATTGTCCCTCACCCTCAACGACTCTCTCACGAAATTCTCTCGCTGATGATCTAACAATTGCAATTAAACTTATAAAAAATATTGCCATCATTACGCCCATATAAGCAAGTGGTAAATCATATAAAAATCCACTATCAATATTTCCATATGATTTATGAGCATAATAACCATAAAATAATAATGTATATTCGAGAAAATTATTTCCCTGCATAAAATCAGTGATTACATTTAATTCCTTGGAATTATTCATATATAATTCACTGCAACATTCAATAATATTTGTATTATTTGTTGTGCAATAATCAGACGATGGCGATTCCAAGAGAATTATTGGTAAAATGAGAAATATGAAAATTATCAAAAATAATGATAAATTGAGAAAAAGTAACCATTTTATAAATAAAAAATAAGCAACAATACCCATGCCAAAATTACCGCCAATCTTCTTTAAACTTCCATTCCAGAGTGAAATTTTTGCATATGTTTCCTTAACGCGACTTCGAAATTGTTGCCATGCTTTTCTTCGTTGCCATTTTAATTGATCGAAACCTTGAAGACGCAATTTTGTCGCACTCTTGAAATAATTTATTTTATCCATTTAAAAAAAAACGAATTATTTTAAACTTTCAAACAAATGGAAATATTTAAAACATATAAAAATACCTGTAATTGATTCTTGAGCTGCATTTTCTGAGCCATACAAACGGGCATCGCTTTAATTTGCATAATTTCTTCCCATGTACGTTCCTCATTGGAAAGATTTTCTGATAAATCGGGAAGCATTGATACTTGAGCATCATGAACATTTGTTGACATTCGTCTCGCAGTACTTGCACATCGTGAACGTGTACTTGTACGTCTTCGTAAAGTTGTTCGCGGCTCATGTCGAACTCGTTTTGTAGTTGCTATATATTTAATAATAAAATTAAATAATTTAATTAATTAAAATAATTTTCTTATTTATTAATTAATAATAAATCAACTCACCAACGCGAGATTTTTTACTAGGAAGCAATGTAGCAATATGTGAAGGATCTCTCTGTAAAGCTTGTTGTAAATCAGCTTCCATTGCAGCAGGATAACTTTCCTGATAAAATTCAGCTCCAGCTTCCTCCCATCCATGTCCGCGATCACTTCGCTTTTTTCTTTCTCCTCCCGACATTTTTGTAAATTAACACTTTAAAATCACTATTTATTTTTTTTTTACATTCAATTTTTCAACATTTGAAAGAAATTCCTTACATCTGAAAAATAATTCAAAATAAAAAACAAAATTTCCATATAAATAACAAATAGTATTTAATTAAAATTATAAAATTACAAGCTAAACTAATTTATTAAAATAAAATAATATTATATTTATAAAATAATATTAGTTTTATCTGATATTATATCTTCGATTAGAAAAAAAAGTGACATATAATTGAAGTGAGAGAGTGAGAGAAAGAGAGAGCAAAAAAAAGCGCCCAGCAACAAACCCTCCTTATAATATAAAGTAAAAAAAACAAACACAGATTTTTGAAAATATAACTAATAATTGATTCAAAATAGATAAGTTTAATAACAGCGAATTTAAAATCCCTTTTTTAATATATAATTCACAAGATTCACAAAGCAATAAATGTCAAGAACACATACACAGAGAAAAGGGTAATAAACTTATTTTTATATTTACATTTTTTTCAATCATTCAGCGTTTAACTCTTCATATAAACGGATCCGACACATTAGACCAGAAGACAAAAGTGAATTACTGGAACAGTGAACAAAGAGCGTCAGCATTGTGTTTTTTTTATAAGTTAAATTTTTTATTGTTAAAAGAGCTGATAAAAGATAAGGAAGTTGATCCTGCGAATTTAGCCAAGGTTGGCAGCAGTGTCGCCAAAATGTCAAACCAAGGATGGGAAGGTCTTAAATTTTAAGGCCATGTTCACATGTCTATGTAGAGAGAAAAGGACATAACTATCCTCCATCCTTTTCTATCTCGTTAAAATTTACAATTTACGTCATTTTACAAATTCAATGTGCATTGCGCCCTCTATATTTTGGAAAAATTGTCAAAATATTGATTTTTGTGTATAAAAAGAAAAAATTAAATCACTTTAATAGACTGAACAAAACGAGATGAAAATTCTTTATATTAAATAAATAATGAGGTGATAGATGTAAATAAATAGTGGAGAAAATGTGAATGTCCCTTTAAAAAAAAAAAAAAAAAGAATGTTTCTTTTTCTTACCATCGATGACTCATCTTCGTTGTTGTTTTACTCGTGTTTGAAGGGAAAATTGACATTCATTGACATTTCTTTCTATTTTCAATTAAAACAAAACTGATGTAAATTAAATTTTATACTTAAAAATATAGTACTACATTCTACTGTATATATAAGAGAAAAAGTGATTTAATTTTTCATTTTCAATTTAAAGGTATGATTCATCTTTTTTGAAGATTGACGTCAACTTTATATGATAATTTTTTTTTTATTTTCGTTTCTTATTGTTTTGTTAAAGTGGAAAAGTTGTCATTTAAAAAATTATGATAATATAGATGTATTTTATTTAAAATAACAATTTAGTGTTAAAAAAAATTCTGAAAATTTTGAAACTTTTTAGGTTATCTTTTGTTTATTTTTATTTTATTGAAATTGTGTTAGAATCTTCACTACGGGGTTTTGAGAAAAAAAAACTAATTTTAGGATATTAGAAACAAAGAAAAAATCAGATACAAATTTCATTTTGAAGAGGAATGCAGAAATTTTGAATTCGTAAGGTAAATTTTTTTTTAAATATATTGCTTTTTTTTTGCTTGAATGTTTCATTAATCATATTTGAATATCTTGAAAGTGTTATTATACTAAAGAAATTAATAAAGATTTCTTTTTTTGAAGAAACAATTCAACGCTTTTTAATGATATACTACTAAGAGAATTTAATAATTTTTCTGCATTTTGCAAATTGAGAGCATGAAATTGCATTTTTGATTTAAATAAAAAAAATTATTTCTAGTTTTTCGTTGCTTTATATGTATGCTTATGAGAATTATTATTCTGGGAAATATTACATTTTTTTTAATGTTTTTAAAAATAGTGTTTTTAGAAATGAATTGAAGCTATTTTATATCATTCTTTTTCTCTTAACAATTAGCATATCTCATCTCTCTCTATTCGCATATAGTATTATGGCAGTCTTTGCTTGTTAGGTGTTCTGGATACATAGATAGTGCTGAGTGCTTCAAGTACAAAGTGTCTATGATGTTTTCGTCAGGTCTTGGATGCAATCTCTCGTTTCCTAGTTGTTTGGGTTATCCACAAGAGAGTGAAGAACTTATTCCAAGGATGGCACGTGAACCGATAACTCTCAACGTTTATGATATGGTGAGTTAATTTTTTATGAATTCTTCAAGAAGAAGAAAAATTATTTTTTCATATTATTATTACTGTAAAAAAATATAATTGCCAAATTTACCAAATTTTATTATCTAATTGAATTTATTTTATTTTTCTTACAGTACTGGATTAATGAATACACGACTCCTATTGGTTTGGGAGTTTATCATTCCGGTGTTGAAATTTACGGCGTAGGTGAGTAAATTGCGAAATTTTTATATCAGTGAGAATTGATTTTTATTATAAAAACTTACGAATTGTGTATTATTTTTATTTTTAATAGAATATGCATACGGTGGTCATGCATATCCAATGACGGGAATTTTCGAAATTTCGCCACGTGATGCTTCTGAATTAGGGGAACAATTTAGATTCAGGTATTTTAATTAGTTCAAAAGAAATAGAATTATATTTATTTTAAATTTAAATTATATTTTCAATGTATTAAATTTGCAGACAGTCTGTGCATATTGGTTATACAGATTTTACAGAAGAAGATGTACCAAGAATTGTCTCTGAATTGGGAAAAGATTTTCGAGGTGATCGATATCATTTAATGAATAAAAATTGCAATCATTTCAGCAGTCAATTTACACAGGTACATTAAATTTTAATTTTAAAAAGAAAAAATTTGAATTTGTTTCTAATGATCTATTTTTCAAATTGAAGATTTTGTGCGATCAAGAAATTCCTGGTTGGGTAAATCGTTTGGCGTATATCAGTTCCTGTGTTCCATTTCTTCAGCGCTGCCTTCGAAAGGAGTGGCTGACACCTGTCGCTCTTCAACATTCGATTAGTCAGGTCAGTCACAACGACAGTACACCACCATCTGATACTTCTTTGTAACATTTATTGAGTAACGCGCACGAAAATTATCAAGATGACGATGATGAATATAAGGTTTTTAAATGCCGTAGAAGTTATACCTTCTAGAAAATTTACACAGCATGCGTACAAAGAATATTATTAATATAACATTCATATATTTAGAACATTTTTAGTATGCATAATTAAAGCTAAATATAAAAATAAAATTTTGAGAGTTTCAAGCGCCTTCGTTTCAAGGCACTTAACTCTAGGCAAAAAAAAAGAAAATATTAATTCTTAAAGGTACATTCTCATATAAATACTAAAAGAAATTTAAATAAATAAATACTAATATAAATTCATTTTTTTTTTAATTTAGCAATAAATAAATTTTACTCCTTTAATTTTGATTATTAAACATGAGAATGTAGCCTTAAATTATGAAATTAGAAAATTTTTTGCCATTTTTTTGGCAAATATTAAAGAAAAATAATTAAAATTTAGCCCCATGAACAAAAATCAATTAAATATTTATGGCTTCCTTGATGATCCAGAATATTCCTCAAATAATACAGTCAAAGATTGCTCTATTTTATTATTTAATTTAGAAGAGAAAACAGGGGGCTGAAATTGTGCTTTAATTGTAGAGAGATTATAGGCGCGTAATTATATTTGATTAATAATTGAGCGCAAGATTACAGTTCGAATAATAAAAAAAAATCGATTGCCTACGAATCAAATCCTCAAGGAGACTGAAAAAGCTTATTTACGAACCGCTTAAATGAGCTTACTGAAATAAAAAAAAAATGATTTCTTAAAAACTCGTTTCAACGAAAGCAAACGAGACTTTTTTTGTAGACTCGACAGAAAAAAAACCCCCACCTAAGATTTTTGCTCTAAAGTATTATTTTTATTTGTTTGTTTTTCTTTTGCTCGCGTAATTTTACCGTATATAACAATAGATTTCGCGGATCTATAATTAGATCAACGAGAGGAATTTTTCATCTCGAGGAGGATTTTATACTCCGTAAGTTATTACATCGATAGCCAACCAAATGAATTGACAAGGTCTATATAAAATTGTAAATAATATTGTTGTCTTCAAAACGAATAACGTTATTTGTTAACAAAAAAAAATGAAAAAAAAAGAAAAATATTGTAGACGAGTTTAACGTGTTCAATGGGGGTAACAAAAAAAAAAAAAAAAAAAAATAACCGTCTACGATTTCAAAAAATTTACTTTTTCTACGTCACATATAAAGGTCCATAAATTATTAGTGCCAAGTTGCTTCCCTACTCGTATTTTTTATCAATATTTTTCCCCTATTTTTCTCAGACCTCAATAAGAATTATTGTGTCAATTGCAAAGTTGTTTAATTTTTTTTTAAATGGGAAAATTTAATTCCAAAATTGATTGAAATTTTGATTGCTTAGTCTATAAAAAGTTTAAAAAATTTTCACAGGTAAACTAATATTATTATTCTTTTAAAAAGACGAAAAAAATATTTTATTCTCAGAAATTCAATTTTTTTAAAATGACACTACTCTTAATTTAAAAATCTAAAATTTTTTATTCACTGACAACAAAATGTAAATCACTTTGGAAATTTTCCTTTCTGTGTTATTTGTTTAAAAAAAAAATTGTGAGTGTTTTTTTTAAACTATAGATACAAATAACAGTGATATGAAATTGCATTTAAAAAAAAAAAAAATGCACAAAAAATGTTGTGAAAATAATTGAGAAATGTTTCGTCGTTTTAAATTTTAAGAATGGATGTGTGTCTCTCTTTTTCTTTTATTTCGAGAAAATCGGCGATTTGTTAAAGGATATCGAGTTGTTAAAATGAAATTTTTTTTTGATGACTTACTTTCTTAGATGTAATTAATGTGCTGGTAGTAAAAAAAAAAATAATCGGAGTAAAAAAAGCTTATAATGGAATTTTGTACCGTTTTTCTAGTGTCTATAAAATTTCTTGTTAAAATAAATATCTCGGTATCTTTCAACCATTTTTTATATCACTGCTCGTTGTAAATTATGTACATTTTATGATTTTTTTAAAATGAAAATACTTTTCAGTTATTATTGTAAGTAGCAATTAATTTGATGAATGTTCGAATTTATTTTAATTAATAATATAAATCACATGTTTGGTATCTTAATTAAATTATTACTGAAACTTTTTTAATTTATTTAAATTATATTTCAGTATCACGCACAGTGTAAACATTTGATCATTAAATTGTAGAAAATGAAAAAATTTCTTTTCTTTATCTATAATTTCAATTTAAATGAATTAATTACGTTTGTATAACTAATTTGTTTATTTTTATACTTCATAACATTGTTATATAGATAATTACTCAATTACTAATGTATTTACTCAAAAAAAAATTACTAATTAATATTAATTAAAAAGTGATTAATAAATTACAAATATAATTAAATTATCCAAGAATATGAATGAGTATATTACTCAGAAAATGTTACAAAACTTTTTTTACTCAACTTTTTAATTAATTGAAGAAAAAAAAATGTTTAAACAAGAAATGCACAGATCTCAGTTTTGTTATTTTTTATTTAAATTTTTTTTTAGAAAAATTTTAGTTAATGTATAAAAACGTTCGATTTATATTTAAGATTAGTTTTTTAAGTATTAGGTGAATATATAATAATATATATATATATAGAGAGAGAATTCACTCAATTCTGTATAAGTTTAGCTGTTGTTTTATGTCATCCATTGATGATTCTGGAAATAAATCTTGACGATCCTGAATTAATTTCATGACCTGCATTAATGTTTGTGATTCTTTCCTGTGAAATATTTTATATAAAAACAAAAAAAAGCATGTTGAATATACGCAAATTAAATGTATTATGTTCTTAATTATTTACTCACTCTTTTTCTTTATCTTTATTTTGCGAAGTAATAAATTTTTGTTCCATTACTTTTTGTTTTGCTTGCTTGAAACTTGCTTGTAAACCTTGACGAATAATTTCATCATTTTTTTCTATTTTAATAACCGCTTTTTGTTTCTATTTATATATAAAAAAAATATTTCATAATAGTTAATATTGTATAATTATTGCTAATGATTAATATTTACTTAACTATTATAGAAATTATTACTATACAATTAAAATTAATAGTTTAATTTTGTTTTTTAAAATAATAAATTTGTTTTCTTTATTGCAAAATCAAAATATTCATAACCTATTTGAAAAAAAGTTTTAATGATCGATAAAATTGTACTAAATTCCGAAAAATATAGTAAAAATTGTTACTTTATTTTGTAAATAGAAAAAATGTTTGAACTTACTCGCTTGTAAAGTCGTAAATTAAAAAATACTGCAAATATAATTGTAAAAACAGTTATTGAAATTTCAACTATATAAACATTTGCAAAATCAATAAAATTAGATAAAGTTGGCAAAAATGTATTCATTATTCATAATAACAATTGAAATTGAATATCACAAAATGTAAACAAAAAATATAAGAAACAGTTTGTATATTTTAATTTTGAGGTTATACAGCACTAAACTTATAAATATTTCCCCTAGAACCAACATCAATTACATATACATATATTATTTTAGACATGACGACAGAGATAATTTTAAATCTGAGTGCGATAAAATATTTAATATAAAACTCATTAAAAGTAGAAATATATTGAAAAATGTAAAAAACAAATTATATATACGTATTTATATAAATATATAGTTTTATGTTTAAAAAGTTAATAATAGAAATATTTAACTAATATGACAATAAACAAACTGTTCTGATAATTTATTATAGTTCTTTTAAATTTTGTATATTTTACAACCTATTACACTATAGAAGCGCTGGAATTAATTATGTAAATATATTTTTACATATATATATATACATATAATAATAAATATATTATCCCTTGAAAATTGTTTATAAAAGATTTTAAAGAACTATATTTACACAGTAAAAATATATTTCTAAAAGAAAAACTTTTCATACAGAAGTCAAAAGAAATCTTAAATTCTCCTAAATGTGATTTTTTTTCATAAATATATATTATATAAAAATTCTATTCTATAAAATCATGTAAATTATAGATATAATAATCTAAAATCTATCCAATTGTACATAATCTACATTCAAATGAATATTTGTTAATGAACTTTTTAATCAATAAAATATAAAACTGCCCACTAATGACTAGCTGAAAATAACTAATTATTTGTTTGTATATTTTAAGAAAAGACAAAAATTTTACTTTACATATAATAAAAAGATTAGAAAAATTTGTTCCTTTATATCATAGAAATTTAAAAGAAATTGTCTAAAAAAGAAACTAGTATATTGGAAGAACAATTTCTAATGATTCTCTTATATTTCAAGAATTTTCATTCTAAATTGAAATTGAAATCTTAAATCAGTAATTATTTGGGCCCCAAAATATTTGAAATTTCCGATTCACTAAACGTGATTCTATACATTTTTTTTTTGAATCGATATGATTAAATTCTTTAAACGTTATTAAATTTGTCTAAATACCAATTATGATCTTTCATTGTAGCTAATACACCGGAATTTAATACAGTTGGATCATTTGCACCAAATGAAATTCGTCCAGAGCTGGTTAAAGGTGTCATTCTTCCACCTAGTGTCCTAATAATAAAGAATGAATGAATGAAATATAAATTAAATTATTTTTAAATAAAATTTTGTAATTTTTCAAAACTAAATAATTTTTACCTGATAATAGCAGAACACGCACAAATATCCCATTTTTTAATTGCAGTCATATGAACGTACGCTGTTGCATTACCAGCGACAACTTCCAAAGTTTTATAACCTACGAATTAATTAATAAATTAATTATTTTAGTTATTAGTTAATTAATAAAGAATTATTGTAATAATTATATATTAAATTAAAAAAAAAATACCAGCTCCAGCTGCTGAAATAATTTGTACATTGTCTCCAAAAGCTAATCTAGAAGCATTTTGTATCGTTCCAGCATGAGATCTCGAAACAATCAGTACTGGAACTTTATTATCTTCTGGCTGTTTATTGAAAATTAAAAATTAAAAATTAAATATATATAAAGTGAACAAAATAAAAATAATTTTTGATTTTTATTATTTTTACCAGATGAATTTTAAAATTATCTGAAGATCCATGATCAACCCAAGCCCAATATGTTGATTTTGATTCAAAAGGTTTGTGTATCACTCCAATAATTGGTTCTTTTTTAATTGATATACAAACCATTGTTGTAACATATTGTAATAAATTTTCTAGAAAATAGAAAAGAAGTATATAATATATTAATATAAAATAGAAAATTATAATTTTCTATGATTTGTATTTTATTATTGAAATATCAGTCAATCGCTATATAATAATTTTAAATAACCTGTAAATTCTTTAGTTGCATCTAGAGGATCAATCCAAATGGTAACATCATTTACATTAACAAAAAAATCATCAAATTTCCAATCATCAATATTTTTGAATGAATCTGTTAAATCAAAAACATTAACTTTGTCGCATTCTTTCGATTTTTCTTCAGATATAACTGTTATTTTGGGAAATGCTGCTTTAAGTGCATTATACATTGCACAGTGTGATTTATAATCAGCTGCTGTTACTGGATCATTTACACCTTTAGAAAATAATAAATTACAATAAAAAATGAATAAATTATAACTTACAAATTTTGAGTCAAAGAAATTCTATCCCAGTTTAAAGATACATAATTAACAATGAAAGAAATTTACCTTCATTTGTTTTTCCTTTGCTCTCAATATTCAATCGTCTATTATTATGAACATCAATTATTTCCAAACCTCCAATTTCTGCTGCTTTTATTGCACCAGCAAGAAGTGTTTTCATTGATATTGTATTTGTTGACGTACGAACAGAATAAAGATAAACTAAAATTAAAAGTCCTCCAATTACACAAAGACCGAGTTTACGTATTCGTAAATTGGCACCGAGATACATTTTTCTGTTAGTATTTATTTTTTCTTCTTTATTTATTGCAGAAAAATGACTTTTTTTGTTTAAAAATTCAACATCGCAGCCATGTTTTGTTTTTGTTATTTGTTGTTGGTCGAATATTGACAGTGTTGCCAATATAAAATATAGTTCCAGTTTTGTCCGCCTTTAAAAAAAGAAAAAGCTCATTAGCTCTTTTTAAAAATTTGCGGAAAATAAGTAGCCAATGAGCGCAATAGTTAAGGAAATTTTAATTATTACCGCGTAATTTTAAAATATCAAGAAAAATAAATTGACATATTAAAAAATGTGCAAAAATATTGTAATTTTATTTTAACTAAAGAATTAAGTAAAATTAGAAGAGTATTTTGTAAACAATTTATTATCTTTTATTTAAAATAAGTAATTTGTCACTTATTATTAAAACTTAACGATTAAACGCAATATAAACACATTTTATCTTGTAAACAGCAAATAATGTTATATATATTATATACACAGCATATTATGTATATTAAAAATCTGCACAACTCAATTGAATATTAATATAGATCTTCGGAAGCATAATAATCATTTTCTTATCGAACGACTCGTTTAATCGCGGAATGTGTCTTCACAGGGAAACAGCGGTGGATGTATTATATAAATTTTTCTCATTAAATAAAATATTTCGCTTTTTTTATAAATATAATTTGCAAAATAAATTTAAAATCCACATTTTGAAAAATTAAATTAAATTTTTTTTTATTATAAAGTCGATATGTAAGAAATTGAATTCTTAAAATTCATAAAAATAAAAAAAGTAGATTTTAAAAATATTTTTTCTCCATTTTTTTACAAGTTGAGAATTAAGTTTTATTTTTCGAATCCACGCTGTTTTTTTTTTTATTTAAGTCAGTCTACTCTTATTCCCTGTATTTTTCTACTATCCGTAGAACTTTTTTGACACAATAAAATTTTCTATTCTTCGTTTAAAGTTTTGCTTTTTTCTAATATTTGTATAGCGCCTAGACATCGAGGCAAAATTTCTATATGCCAAAAATATTATCTGGCAATAAACTGCATGTTTCATTTTGTCTATTCATCATTTTCCATCTTTCATAATTTGTTTTTCTCTTTTTTTTGTTTTATTTTGGCTTTTATATATTATTTTTTTCGATGATTTATTGTTCGTCGGATGAAAAAGTCGTGATTTGATGTTTCGAAAATGTTGTGACGAAACTAAAAGGGAAGACACACAATAATAAATTTGCAAACTTTTTTTTGATTCGATTGTTTTTTTTCACCTTTTTTTTTCTCCTTTTTTCTCTTTTTTTTTGTTGAAAATTGATGCTTTTGGAAAAAATGTATGAATGATTGTTCCTTTCTTATTTTTTTCTTCCTTGCTTATTTTTTTTTGTTTTTTTTTGTTTTTTTTTTTTTTTTGCTTAAAATTACACATTAATTAGCCTAGAGCAATTGACTTTATAGAGGAATCATTTTTTGCACAGCACAGAGCACTGAAGTTATTATTATTAACGACAGTTTTTCAGTAAGTCTTTTTGACGAAGAATGAATTGTCGGGGCTGGAATTACTTGCACTAAAACATTAAAATAAAAATAATTTAATTTAATAATTAAAATTAAAAAAAAAATAATAAAAATAATAATTAAAAATGTTAAATAAATAGTTTAATAAAAATGGATTAACTTACCGATTTCAGTAGCGAACCTTTCATCGGCAAATTTTCCATACTGATTGAATTCTGGAATAGTACCACGACAGTTTATCTCTAATTCATTATTTTCATTAATTAATAATTCGGTTATTTTTGTCTTCAAATATATACTGGATGACATTAAATTATTATTGTGTTTTTGGTGTGGATGCATAATTATATCATTATATGGTACCTGAAATTTTATTTACAAATATTAATGACAATTTTGTTTTATTTAAAACAAAATTACATTATTTACATTATTTAAATGCAATTTAATGTAATGCAAATATTTAATGCAATTACCCTTTTTTCATTGATATACCACGTTAAAGAAGGGGCTGGAGCTGTAGGTGAGGAAGAACAATTTCCTTCTAAAAATTCTCCCACGACATAAATTGACTTATCTAAAGTTATTACTGGTGGTCCAGTTTGTGGTACTAAAAGATATTAAAAATTTTGAATCACTAGTTTTGTAAATCGTGATTAACTTTTATAATTCAAATTAATTAGTTTCATTAACAAAATTTGTCATTACTTAAATTACTATATAATTGCATTATCAGGAAAAAAAACACTCACCTATTACTTCTAATTTCTCTTGTTTAGATTCTGTTTCAAAAATTGGAGATAAAGTAGAAACTTCGCAGGAATACATTCCTCTATCCGAGAATGTGACCTTTTTTAATGTGATTGTCTTGCCATCCGACGAATGCTAAAGTGTAAATCGATAAAACGAAAATTATTTAAAAAATCAATGTATTGAATATTTGACAATGTAGAAAAAAACAGTTTTTTTTTTAATTTTCAATAATAATAATAATTTTAAATTCCATTAAAAATATAAAGTATTCATTAAAATACTCTTGTCATGTTACATTTTAACAGAATAAAATAAATTAAAAAGATTTTCAAACTGGAACACATGTACAATTAATATAGGCATTGATTAAATCAGAAACACCTGGACTGAAATGTCACGAAGAAAAGTTTAGATTACACTTCACTAAACTAGTGAAACTGTTATAAAAATAGTCACCCTTTATTTTCCACAGACCTACTTACTCTTTTTTCCAAATGAGAATAAAAGAAACTTTAATAAAACTTTAACTCAGTTTACTTAAAACGACATATTATTCTTTTACCATTTCATCTAAATTGTTATTTCAATATTGTTTGTTTAAGTTTTACAAAAGTTGTTGAGTATTTTTTTATTTTTAGATCATATAACAAAAAATTAAAAATAAAATGTCAAATTTTTATTTTTTAAATAAATTAAATTTCAAAAAATATAATTTAAGAGAAGATAAAATCAAAGTTGAAAATATTTTTAAAATTTGAATTAATATAAAGGAAAAAGTAAAAAAAAAAATTTAACGTACCTCAAGATTGGAATTTTTATTCGGAATATTAAACGGTGGACTTCGATCGCTTATATATTGAAATATTTTTTTATTATCCTTATAAAATTCCACCTTACGAAGATTGCTTTCATCAGAGACATTGTGAGTACAGATCAAAGTTGCATCAGTGTGATATTCTACATAATGCGGCGCAACAAGCTGTACGTGCAGCGTACAAGTTGCATCTGTAAATCAAAATCGAAAAATATTAAATTTAATATAGAAATTAAGTGCATTTTGCATTCATTATTTATTTACATCTGTTAAAATTTACACATATGACACATTATAGATTTTAAATAAATCAATTTTCTCTGAGCAATTTAAATATAAAGAAAAATATTTTAATAAATTCCACATTAAATATTATATTTTTGAAAATTGTAAAAATTAATAAGTAATAAAATAGGAAGAAAAAAAGTTCATTAATTAAAATAGAAATAAAATAGAAACGTGATTTATTTAAATATTAATTTTTTTAAATTTGCTATCAAATATTCAAATAAAAATAAATTGAATATTTCCATTCGTAATTCAGTTACTCTTGTGAAGAGATGAATCTCTCAGTTTTTTTTCTTCTAATGAAATCATCGATTTCAAATATTAAGAAAAAAAAATATGACCCAAATATTTTTTCAGAATTTTTAATTTCAATTGAAAATATAAATTATTTTCTATCATATTCAAAATATATAGAATAAAATAAATATTTATTCAAAAGTTGTTTTTCAAAGGCAAATAATTTAAATGATTAAATATTTTGAAAACTCAGTTTTATCAATATTATAAATTAGTGGTATTTTTTTTCCTGTTTATCTGTCATCATTATATGTTGAGAGAATTAACTAAGTCACGCAAGAAAAAATTATGAATCTAGACTACACGTCTAGACTTACGATATATAATCATGTTAAAAAATTATTCCATACTTTATTGCACGTTATTTAAATTAATTTTTAATCTATTTCCTTTATTTTTATTAAATTAACAAAGAATATTTTGTTAGCTAAGAATTTTCATTTTAAAACATTTTTGAAAAGTACAAAAAAAAAAAATAATCTTTTTGATGTCTGAAAATTTTAAATATAATTTTATTCTCAGACACAAAATACTAAAAAATTCATTAATTTCTTCTATTAAAAGGAAATTAAAAAAAAATAAATGTAAACGAATATTTCATTGAATAAAATAATAGTTTTCCTTTTCAAATGTAAATGAAAGTAAAAAAAAAATTTTATTTATAGTACAAGTGTTATATTTTGTTGTTTTAAGAATTAAATTAAGAATTGAAGAAAAAAATGAGACAAAGTGAACGAACCCATCAAGGGTTGTTAATAAATTACAGGTGTGAAGAGTCCTTTATCAGTAAATGATGTGAGCTACCCTGTTGCTCGGAGGCGTTACTATGTATCGATTACAGAAATCGTGTTACTTGGTCATAAATATTGATATAACTCTATAAAAAAAATCTTTTTTTATAGGCCGACTTATATCTTAAAAAGGTAGAAAATATATTACAATATTTGAAGTTTCACATAAATTACAAAAAATAAAACAACAAACAATTAGAAAAACTATATATAATAAATAATATAAATATGGAAAAAAATAATATGATTATAGATTAAATATATTTATTTTACATAAAATATAATAATATATTATTATCATTCCTTTGTCATCATCCTTTTATTTTGTATCGATATGATGAGACAGAGAGTGTATTGATTAAAGATATTTTTAAAAATAAGTTAAAATAAAATATTTATTTTTTGAATTAAGTTTTTCACATCCTCTTCTTATTTTAAAGAAATTAATATTTAATCCATCTATAATATAAGTTTCAAATAAATAAAATTCTATTTCATTTAAAAATTAATTTTTTTTCATTTAATAATTTAATTTTAAATAAGTCACTTAATTGTTAAGAAATTAATATTTAATTCAACAAAAAAAAATTTATATTTCAAAGTAAACTATATTCGAATAAATAATAGAAATTATTTGAATTAAATCATTTTTTTTTTTTTTTTTTTATTATAGTTTCACTGAAAAGGATAAATTATTATAGAAACAATTAAACTGTCAAATAATAATACATTAGTGAATAAGATAAAAAAAATCCTGAAACTTTCAAATAGAGTATACTGAATAAATTCACGCTTTTCTATTATTGTTCTATAAGGGAGAAATTTTCTTTCACGGCTACAATAATACAGACAATGAATCTATTGTTTAAGTAAAAATATCTTAACCCATATTTTTTTTCTCTTTGTTTATTTAAAAAACATGTTCTCGGACATAAATTTATTTAAATAAAATAAAAAATAATTATTAAAATTTAAACAAGTACTTCGAGGACATATTTTTAAGTTAAAAAAATGTTTTTTATAAAATAGTTTAATAAAAATAAATATCAATAAAAGCTTTTTTAAATTAATGAAAAATTGATTGTTACCAAAATTTTTTGATTAAAAAAAATTCTCTTAATTAAAATTTTTAATTAACTATTTAATTAAATATTAAATTTTTCTTTGATACAGTTTATTTAGTTCAAATATAAATTATTTAATTCAACTATTATTGAATTTTATTTTAATATTGATAATGAATAATATTATTTGAATAAAATAAATTTTTTTTTACAACGTACAATTAAATTATGATAAAATTTAAAACCTATGGAAAAAAATTTTCTGTATGAAAATATTTTTGATAAAATTGAATTTAATTGTTTTTTTTTATTTTTTTATTTCCCTACTCATCACTATTAACACGTACTCTAGAATTTCATTCAGCTTCTCGGTAACAATAAGTGAAAAAGGGGTGGGAGTATATGAGCGTATCACAAACTATGCTTTGCAATCCATCTAGCTGCATTTCCGTTACTCATGTGGGTGTTTCGGACGTAAAACGAGAAACGAGAGGGAGTGATTCAAATTATATGTATATATATATGTGCCTGTATATATGTATATACGTGTGGGCGAGATTATAGAGAGACTGTCTGAAATTGCATATATATGTTATAATCTGCGGAAAAAGGGAGATCGAGACTTACATGAAAATAACAGTAAAATATAGAATATGAAGAGGAATTGTTTCCAATTGGCTTGTTGACGCGGCATTATCACTAAATATTTTCTTTGAATTGACAATTTAATATGATAGATATATAGTTGAAACTACGTAATTTAATTATTATTTATTTTATTATTTTTTTTTAATAAAAATGTGCGACTATTTTATACAGTGTGTGTGCCTTTAAACTACACAACTCCGTGCCGAGTCGGCGCTACAACTGGAACTAGCTTTTCGATCGCTTTACCTTCAACCACCCCCTATCATGGGAATGAATGAGATCTAGAGTGGAAACTTGGAACTGTGACCAAAACCCACGGAAAATGGTCTTTTGAAGCGCCATCTCCTGCCATAAGGATATCAGGAGTCAGGATAATAGAATCCTTTCTCAATTGTCGCTTCAAATTCAATATCCGGATCTTAAGGACACATCCTATTGACTTTTCATTCCTCAAATAAATTCATATATAACAACCTACATGCGCACTCGATACACCACTTTTTTTTTTAAATCAACATCTAAAATCAGATCATTTTTCAAATTAAAAATTTAAAAATTCTTATTATAGAATGTTTTAACATTAATTATTAAAATAAATTTCAATTAAAGTAAAGATAAACTTCTCGAAATTTTCCTTTTATAAACGGATGATATTTTTTGTACTTATTGCAGTGAAATAAAATAATCCGAATAAAACAAGAATTAAAAAAAAAAATGAGTAAAAATGTAAAGGGAGGAAAACCATCCCTTTAGATATAAAACCAACCCTCCGGGCATTTGAATAAGTTCTCTTAACTTCTGTTATTTTAACAAGTATTCTTCACTTGAGAGGTATTCTTAAGATTCTCTAAATTACAATTTCCCTTTTATTTGGATAATGAATTCTTTTTTTTTCTTTTTTTTTTATTAATCAGATTAATTTGAAATTAATTCGTATCGTTTGCTTTAGCTTATGAGACAATAGTTTTGAACGTTCAAATGAACGAAATTTTTTTTTGCAACTTCTTTAAGTATTAATTTTATTACAAAATATTTGTTTTAATTATCTAAAAAAAGTTATTAATTTAACAATTGTTTAATTTATTGTTTTATTTTATATTGTCATCAGAATTTTTAATAATTTATAAATTGAAAAAAATATTTCCTTCATTTGAAAGTTCAGAACTTTTGGCTCATTTTCGCTTCCTGTCTAACTTAAAAGATTTATACTACTGAAAATGTATAGATCAATGTCTGACAGAAATTAGTTATTACTACTTACGCGAAACTTTTTATCAATGTAGAATAATTAAAATTTTCAAATAGTTTTAATTGGGTAATTAATTACTGCTATTAATTGAGAAATTTATTTAAATTAATTTATTATTCAAAAGAAAATAGAACTTACCAAACACGATTTTCCATAATGAAATAAAAACATTTTTTTTTTTTTTTTGGCTATTGTCAGAAATCAGTCAATCATTTGATCCTTATTCGTGTCCTTTGATAAAAAAATCTTTTCTGTTCCAACATTATGTTTTTAATATTCTTTCTTATCATTTTCTATTCTTTAGTCGTGTAATAAACATATTATATATTTATTAAAATCTAGATGAAAAATGTGCAAAACATGTGCTGTCAAAATTTGTGGTTATGTTATCAACAACAAACAGCCCGAAGTTTCTCCGACAACAAATTTATGACAAAAAACAAAACATTAATCATTATATATATATATATATATATATAATATTCTGTATATTTATAATAATTTCGTTGATATTTACGTTACCTTTTAATCGAAATAGTTTGAAACTATGTTTAAAATTAAAAAATCAATTTAATAAGCGACGTGAAGTTGGCACCGCAAACTCATTAAATCATTATTAAACTATATCAAATCGTTTGGTAATCGTATGGTAGTGTATGGTAATCAGTTTTAATTGTTTGGTAGTAAATATTAAAAAAGTTATTTAAATTTTAAGTTCAAAGTGCTAACTTCACGGTAGCACTACACTATACAATTTTTTAAGATAATTCAAAGTGGTAACGTTTGGTAGTTGTTTGGTAGTGATTGGTATCTACTTTCTGATGTTTGGTAGTAAAAAAAAACTAAAATATAACATAAAAATAAATGTACAATGATGAACAGGACTGTCATGCTATTCAACATTACGCATGCGCATGACGGTCAGCCATTATGAATTGCCGGCAAAATTTAAATGCAGAACAATTTGTTTAACACCACTTTGGTTAAATCAAATACATGTATAAAGATAAAAATTAAATAAATTCAATTCTCTTAATAAAAAAAAAATATTTTGTATAATTCGTCACATTAAGTTCTTAAAAAAATAAAAATATTTTCTTTAAGTGCTGCAAGAGAAATTATCGTTTTTCAAAATTTCTTTTTTCCCTACAATCCCTGACTGACACAGACGTTTGGTATTGCTTTTTCATCGTTTGGTATTAAAAAATTAAATTGTTAATTAATTAACTATTAAAAAAAATTTTTTTTTCTTTGAGTGCTGCAAGAGAAATTATCGTTTTTCAAAATTTCTTTTTTCCCTACAATCCCTGACTGACACAGACGTTTGGTATTGCTTTTTCATCGTTTGGTATTAAAAAATTAAATTGTTAATTAATTAACTATTAAAAAAATTTTTTTTTTCTTTGAGTGCTGCAAGAGAAATTATCGTTTTTCAAAATTTCTTTTTTCCCTACAATCCCTGACTGACACAGACGTTTGGTATTGCATTTTCATCGTTTGGTATTAAAAAATTAAATTGTTAATTAACTAAAAATGAGAAAAAAATTTTTTTCTTTGAGTGCTGCAAGAGAAATTATCGGTTTTCAAAATTTCTTTTTTCCCTACAATCCCTGACTGACACAGACGTTTGGTATTGCTTTTTCATCGTTTGGTATTAAATAATGAAATTGTCAATTAATTAAATATTAAAAAAAAATTTTTTTTCTTTGAGTGCTGCAAGAGAAATTATCGTTTTTCAAAATTTCTTTTTTCCCTACAATCCCTGACTGACATAGACGTTTGGTATTGCTTTTTCATCGTTTGGTATTAAAAAATGAAATTGTTAATTAATTAACTAGTAAAAAAATTTTTTTTTTCTTTGAGTGCTGCAAGAGAAATTATCGTTTTTCAAAATTTCTTTTTTCCCTACAATCCCTGACTGACACAGACGTTTGGTATTGAATTTTCATCGTTTGGTATTAAAAAATTAAATTGTTAATTAATTAACTATTAAAAAAAATTTTTTTTTCTTTGAGTGCTGCAAGAGAAATTATCGTTTTTCAAAATTTCTTTTTTCCCTACAATCCCTGACTGACACAGACGTTTGGTATTGCTTTTTCATCGTTTGGTATTAAAAAATTAAATTGTTAATTAACTAAAAATGAGAAAAATTTTTTTTTCTTTGAGTGCTGCAAGAGAAATTATCGGTTTTCAAAATTTCTTTTTTCCCTACAATCCCTGACTGACACAGACGTTTGGTATTGCATTTTCATCGTTTGGTATTAAAAAATTAAATTGTTAATTAACTAAAAATGAGAAAAATTTTTTTTTCTTTGAGTGCTGCAAGAGAAATTATCGGTTTTCAAAATTTCTTTTTTCCCTACAATCCCTGACTGACACAGACGTTTGGTATTGCAATTTCATCGTTTGATATTAAAAAATTAAATTGTTAATTAATTAACTATTAAAAAAAATTTTTTTTCTTTGAGTGCTGCAAGAGAAATTATCGTTTTTCAAAATTTCTTTTTTCCCTACAATCCCTGACTGACACAGACGTTTGGTATTGCATTTTCATCGTTTGGTATTAAAAAATTAAATTGTTAATTAACTAAAAATGAGAAAAATTTTTTTTTCTTTGAGTGCTGCAAGAGAAATTATCGGTTTTCAAAATTTCTTTTTTCCCTAAAATCCCTGACTGACACAGACGTTTGGTATTGCAATTTCATCGTTTGTTATTAAAAAATTAAATTGTTAATTAATTAACTATTAAAAAAAATTTTTTTTTCTTTGAGTGCTGCAAGAGAAATTATCGTTTTTCAAAATTTCTTTTTTCCCTACAATCCCTGACTGACACAGACGTTTGGTATTGCTTTTTCATCGTTTGGTATTAAAAAATTAAATTGTTAATTAATTAACTATTAAAAAAATTTTTTTTTTCTTTGAGTGCTGCAAGAGAAATTATCGTTTTTCAAAATTTCTTTTTTCCCTACAATCCCTGACTGACACAGACGTTTGGTATTGCTTTTTCATCGTTTGGTATTAAAAAATTAAATTGTTAATTAACTAAAAATGAGAAAAATTTTTTTTTCTTTGAGTGCTGCAAGAGAAATTATCGGTTTTCAAAATTTCTTTTTTCCCTACAATCCCTGACTGACACAGACGTTTGGTATTGCATTTTCATCGTTTGGTATTAAAAAATTAAATTGTTAATTAACTAAAAATGAGAAAAATTTTTTTTTCTTTGAGTGCTGCAAGAGAAATTATCGGTTTTCAAAATTTCTTTTTTCCCTACAATCCCTGACTGACACAGACGTTTGGTATTGCAATTTCATCGTTTGATATTAAAAAATTAAATTGTTAATTAATTAACTATTAAAAAAAATTTTTTTTCTTTGAGTGCTGCAAGAGAAATTATCGTTTTTCAAAATTTCTTTTTTCCCTACAATCCCTGACTGACACAGACGTTTGGTATTGCATTTTCATCGTTTGGTATTAAAAAATTAAATTGTTAATTAACTAAAAATGAGAAAAATTTTTTTTTCTTTGAGTGCTGCAAGAGAAATTATCGGTTTTCAAAATTTCTTTTTTCCCTAAAATCCCTGACTGACACAGACGTTTGGTATTGCAATTTCATCGTTTGTTATTAAAAAATTAAATTGTTAATTAATTAACTATTAAAAAAAATTTTTTTTTCTTTGAGTGCTGCAAGAGAAATTATCGTTTTTCAAAATTTCTTTTTTCCCTACAATCCCTGACTGACACAGACGTTTGGTATTGCTTTTTCATCGTTTGGTATTAAAAAATTAAATTGTTAATTAATTAACTATTAAAAAAATTTTTTTTTTCTTTGAGTGCTGCAAGAGAAATTATCGTTTTTCAAAATTTCTTTTTTCCCTACAATCCCTGACTGACACAGACGTTTGGTATTGCTTTTTCATCGTTTGGTATTAAAAAATTAAATTGTTAATTAACTAAAAATGAGAAAAATTTTTTTTTCTTTGAGTGCTGCAAGAGAAATTATCGGTTTTCAAA